TTTGCGTGCCGCTGGAGAGGCTCCTGGCATACCCCAAGGTGAACCGCCTGTGCGACGACGCAGACGCGATGCGGGCGCTCCTGGAGGGCACCGTGCGGCTAAGCAGGGACGGCTCCGCTGTGACGGTGGACCTGCAGGATGACGACGGTCAGTGAGCCTCCCGTCCCAAGCCTCCCGGCCGAGGCAGACGGTGGGCTCACTGAGAATTTTTTTTTTAAGTTCTGAGACAGTTTTCTTCATTTTATTATTTTTTTAGTGTTTTTTTTTAAAGATTTTATTTATTTTTAGAGAGGGAAGGGAGGGGGAGAGAGAGAGAGAGAGAGAGAGAGAGAGAGAGAGAGAGAGAGAGAGAGAGAGAGAGAGAAACATCAATGTGCGGTTGCTGGGAACTGTGGCCTGCAAACCAGGCATGTGCCCTGACTGGGAATTGAACCTGCGATGCTTTGGTTCGCAGCCTGCGCTCAATCCACTGACCTACACCAGCCAGGGCTCACTTGAGAATTTTTTGTGTAGTCCTAATTCAAGTGACTTCTACATTTCTTAAAATTTATTGATTTGAGAGAGAGAGAAGGAGGGAGGAAGGGGAGAGAGCAAGAGAAGGAACACATTGATTTGTTGTTCTTATTGATGCATTCATTGTCGATTCTTGTGTGTGTCTTCACCGGGGATAGAACCCGTCACCTGGGCATTCTGGGATGACGCTTTAACCAACGGATCTGCCTGGCCAGGGCAACTGTTAATTTTGAAATCACTTAACTTGTTCTTTCTTTGTTTTTTCAATAGGCTTATTTTGTTTGAGGGTGTGTATAGAGAGCTCCCGATATGCTTGTTTTTTTTTTGTCGTTGTTAGAGCCTTGTGTCAGCATTAAAAAATCGGAAAGGAAATTAGTGTCTGAAACTTTTTCCCGGGAGATGCGGGTAGCTCTAACACTTCTCCAGGGTTCCCCACCTCCTTGGGGCTAAATTCCGGCGTCTAATTCATAGTCTGAAACATCATGCAAAGTGGGAACGTGGGTGATGGGAGGACACGGAAGCCTCGTGATACACACTGCCCACGGTGTCCCAGCACCCTCTCCGGCGGCTTGCTGGTTGGGGCTGGGAGGTGGTGGCAGTGGAGGAGCGGGGAGCACGTGCAGCTCCACGTGGTGCTGGGCGAGGCGGTGGCTTCCGTGAGCACACGGCCTCCCGAGGCCCGGGAGGGTATGCTGACTGGCGTGACAGCTCTGCCACTGCAGGGACTGACGAGTGCACCCTGCTGTCCTCCACGTGGCACACTCCTCGGGGACAGAGACAGACGCGTGAGCCACCTCTGGTTTATTCCAACCGGCAGAAAGGGGAACAGGAAGAAAAGGGCACCGGGCACCTGCTGGCTGTCCGGTGAGGTTTACTGACTGTTACATGCAACTGCTCGCTTCTTCATCAGTCTGTCTCTTAAAACACGTGAGAGGCTGGGAGTTGTGCCCACTGGACGGTCTTCTGCGAAGGAACAGGGAGTGAGAGGATGTTGTGGCCACTCCCCAGGGAGTAGAAGCCAAGTGCATTTGAAGGGGAAAAGTGACCCTGGAAGAGAGACCAGTCGGCACCCAATAGCCAGCTGTTCCCTCCTTGAACTTCACAGGAGGCCCCCTCACACGCCCGTCCCCCGCTCCTGCTTTGTCTGCACGCTGATTTTTCCCTCCTGAGTGCGTACGATCCGGCGGTGTTATTTTGCCCCCCTACTCCCTCCCGCCCCCCAGGCTCTCTTGTCTGTCCTTGCTTTTCTAGGCCTCTGCACAGCCTTCACCCACGACTGTCTTCCCACCATTGATCTGCTGTGTTAGAGCCACGGTGATGTAATAGCGCATGCATCCACTGACTCAACCTTTGACCGACAAAACGATACTGCGCAAATGGGACAGTGCAGGACCACGCAGGGTTCAGAGTGATGGCCTGCCACCCCACACCACGCTGAACTCTCTGCCTGTCAAATCCACTGTCTTAAAGGCAGCAGGCCCGCGTACCTGCTTACTCCTCACAGAACTCCGGTGGGTGAACGTCTGCTTTCCGATACCAATTAGACAACTATCAAGGTTTTCTTATGTCTCTTCCCAGTGAACTACCAGTAGATTCCAGTTTTGCAAGAACCAATGGCCTTTTTTCTAGGAAAACAAGCCACTTGAACGGGTCACATGGTTTTGTAAATACCAAGCAGAGGCCTCAAGAACAGAACCCTAAGGTGTTTCGGCCCCAGGGAACCAAGCTGCTCTGTGCAGCAGCGGAACGTGCTTCTGCGGGAACCAGTTACCTGCAGATTGTTCTCGGAGGGAAGGTTTTCCCGCCACCACCATGGGCCGCCCCCCGCAGAGGAGGTATGAAGTGTGTTACTTGGAACATTCCTTGAGATCTGAGTTAAGACTTGCCTTCAGTTCCTATTTCCATCATCTGGGCAACTCCAAAACCCTCTTAGCGATCTCCACGGCTTCCCCGGGGCTGAGGTGCTCCCAGCCGCCTTTCTTCATGCTGAGATGTGACCCTGCTTGGCAGTGTCTCCGTGAGGCTTGCTCCTCCCCACTTACTTCTCTCTCTCTCTCTCTCTCCATTTCCAATCGTTTCATCTATGCCATACCCAGCAGTTAAGTTCTCTTTCAAGTACTGCTCTCCACCCCCAGGGGCTCTCATTTCTGTGAGTGCCCATCAGGGAACAATTCCAAACAGCAGTACCTCCCTCGGCCGGAGTTTGGAAGCCAGCAAAATCACGCGGTTACACCCGCAGCCGTGGAGGGTGGTGCGCGCCGGGCCGCAGGCGGGTCAGGGTGTGAGCCGCGGTCTCGGATGCCGGAGGCAGTCTTGATCGCGCTCCATCTGGGGTGCTAGGTGTCAAACCGGTGGCCAAGAACGGTCCACCTCCTGCGTGATGCACACCCGTGGGGACGTCCCGTGACAGGGAACGCGTGTGAGTACGGCCGAGCTCTAACGAGCCGGCAGGAGCTGGACGTCACAGATGTGCCCGACGTTCATTTCACCTTGCAGCAGGTTTCTGAAGCCGGCGGCACCCCAGGCACGCACCTATCTTTCGAGAATTAACTCAGTGCCCTCCTGGGCTCCTAATGTTCCCGTCGAACTGTGTGCACTCTGGCTGCCCCGCTGCCTTCCTCTGCCCACGCCATGCGTCCGTCTGCTGCGGCCCGAGCCGGGGTCAGTCGTGCCAAGCTCCACCACTGCATTGTCTTTCCCACGAACATTGCATTGCCCCTACTCCCACACCTCGTCCTCGTCTCGAGGTTCTTTGCTGCCGTCTACTCGGCTGGTTTTCCACGGCTGTATCTCGGTCCAGCCTTGGCCCTCTGTCCGGAAGCCCAGGACTTCCTAGTGGGAATCCTCCTAGAACTGAATTTACAGCATCTTTCACTCATTCCAGACGAAAGGGAAAGACTTTCACCCTGTTTAAGCAAAAGTATGGGATGTTTCCAAATCTTTTTGCAAGTATTTCAAGTTCCTTAAAATCCATACTGAAAATTGTTTTCCCTTTGGCCGTAAAAACACGGACCGTGGGGAAGGAGGGGCAGACACAGGAGCACGTGGGGAAGAATGTTTGAGCCCAGTCACTGAAGTTCAATACCAGAAGGTGGCACACTTTTCTCACTTCAAGTAGATGCATTCTTTTGCTTTGAGGACTCCCTAAGATGAAGAAGAAAAAAAAAAACCAAAAGTAAAAAAAAAAACCTTAGTCATGCCGATTTCTATGGAGGTTTGAAGGTTTTGCAATGTGGGGAAGTCACTGCTGAAATGGCTCAAACGTCTACTGGTGAAGTCAGTGTTACAGAGAAAAGGGTTCATTCAGGAGACATCCTGGCCTACTTGAGCTGTAACTGCACAGGGGTGGGGTCTAAACTAACTCATCCTGGAAGGTCGGACTTTTCCTCGTCACATGGGTCCATCTGGAGTAGAGGTCGCCGACTCGTGGACTGTCTGAACGCAGGCCTTTTCTGTTCTGTATCTTGTGTCATGTGGGACGGATTCACTCCACCCAAGATTTCCTGTCATGCAAGTGGAAAGATTCCATTTCCTTTTATGTGCCCCTACCAGGTGTATGATACACAGAAAGGGAGAGGTACATTAAGGTGAAAGGGGAGAGAGGGTGGGGGAGGAAGGGATGGAAACACTGGGTGTTGAGTTGGAACAAGAAGGCCATGCCCAGGCACCCCATGCCTGAGACGGGGCCTCGGGGGCCAGGCCACGGGGCTGCCAGGCCCTGCTGTGACGGCACCAAGCTATCCCGGGTGGTGCTGTACGATCCCATGTGCTGGGGAGGCAATCGGAGGGTTTTCCTGCAGTGCCCAAACCCCAGCCGCTTCTGCTGCTCTGCCAGCGAGCAGGTAGGTCTCTGCCTCACTCCCATCACCTTTCGTAACTGTGCTGTCCAGGGAAGCCGGGGCAGTCTGCAGAGAAACACCTGCGTCCAGGCTCCTCCCAAACCCCAGTTCTCTGTCCCCTTCCAGTCGCCGTTGTAACTGGGCATCAGCAGAGAGAACGCCTTGGCAGCGCCCCTCCCTTGGGAGGGCAGTCTCATCACGGGGAAGAGCCGCTTACAGGGCGCGGTGACGGCCTCCTTTCAGAGATGACCTTCACCTCCTGCAGTGGCACGCTCCTGATGGTCTTCTGTGGCCGCAATGAAGACACGCATGTAGATGGGCACAAAGGCCAGGCTTTGGCTTCATAAAACACCGAGTGCCTACCCAGGGGCACGCTCTTAACAAACATCCTACCACCTGGAAGAGTTAGTGGTGTTATCCTCATCCCAGGTCAGAAAACAGGTCCAGAGGGGGTTCCTCGAATGCAGACTCAGGCCTCTCGTTCCGAGGTGCAGGACCACGCCACCGCGGGAACCACTCGGGGCACAGAGAAATGTCCCTCCCTGTGAAGCCCTGGGGGGCTACCCCGGTCCCTTCACTGCTGCTCTCTTTCCTCGGCAGGTAGTAGACTCTCACCTGAACTTTTAAAGTAGAAACAACACTCCAAACTTTAGGATAGGATTTTTATTGAACCTGTATGATTCACCTGGACATTTATTACAAATACTTTACAATAAAAAAATTAGTTTTTGTAAAAAAAACAACAAAAAAAACTTCCTGGATTTACAGTTGTGCAGGTAAGACAAAAAAATATATGAAAATGAAGGTCATTCTCCAAGTATCAGAATACTAATGGAATCACTTCAATAGCAACTTTTTCATAAACATTTACATGACTGCTCGCAGCTGTATCAACTTTCACAGGAACAGATAAATGCAGAGGACAAAAAGGCAATCCCCCAAATAAGATGTATTTCCAAAAGATATAATGAAACTGAATGTACCTTAAGTGTCTTCCTCTGCAAGGGATTTGGTCAATGAGGATCAGCCAGAGAGTTTTCTCACATACACAGGATGAACATAAACATTGGTAAATGCGGAACACACAGCCTGCGTCAATTAAAACATCTGTCAGCTTTATCGTAGAGAGGAGTAGCTGGAAATCACTGCACAACCGTTTAAAATACACTGTGTGTGCACGGGGTGGGGCGAAAGTAGGTTTCCAGTTGTGAATCTGCAAAACAGAGTTTCTTCTTGGGTTATTATTAATTATTGTATTATTTTCCATATGAACTGCAAACCTGCTTTTGCCCTGCCCTGTATATTATCATATGAAAAGTCACATATATAAGGGAATAATAAGGCCTGATTTCCAGAGCAGTCTTAAAACAGGGTTAATACAGGCATACATCATCCTTTACATTTATTTTTATTCTGTAACATCGCAGCTATTAAAAATTATGCATAGTACCTAAGCCAACACATCCGTAGCGGCAAAACACAACAGCAACTCAGTACCTGGTTACAGTCACGTGAGGTACCGGTAGGCGAGCTGACCGAGGAGAGTTTGCTGGCTGCCCCAGTTAGAGACCTGCTGGAACAAAGCACAGCTCATCACCTGAGCCCGGGCTCCTCAGTGCATGGTTACATATCCTGGGAGCCCAACTCTTCTGAGTGCTTCCATTGCACGCTGACACATCCTGCCAGCTGGAGCTTGCCAAGTTGTCATTAGCATGGAAATCTTGAAGCTTGAAGTTATTTCTGGGTGTTTTAATTTATTAAAACTCGTTGCTCCCTGACTGTGTTCTGACTGGAGGCTAGTAGACATTTTAAGGTTCTTGGTCTAGGCTTGGTCCAATTATAAATACTCATGCAAGTCAACTGTTTGTGTGGAGAGCCTTCTCACCGCCACAAAGGGGCGTGAACTGTCCCAGTGTGAGCCGAGGGCCCAGGGCCTGCCCGGTCCCCAGCCACCCTTCGCATCCCCTCCAGTCTCGGTCACCAGCACAGGTCACAGGAAGTGGGCTCCTGGCCCGCTGCTTCTGTAATTCCCCCAAACAAGGCATTTAGGACTCTTATCACAATAGTAGCTTTAAAATACCGTTAACCCTTTTTCTCTGGCAGGGGGTCAGAAAATATTCCACATCTGCAAATTCTCCAAAGACTGGGGGATTTAATATTGGAGTTCAAGATTTAGAAATCGATGTATTAAGATCTACTTTTTCAAATTCCATTTTCTACAGTCAAAATGAAACCAAATGAGTGGACTTGGTACTGAATAAGCAGATTCAGTTTTTTTGTTTGTTTGTTTGTTTGTTTTGCAATAGCTACATGGTTAAGATATTAACAGGACATGCTCTAAGAAAAGAAAAACCTGGAAGTGAGGCAGCCGCTCAGGCAACCTGGAACGCACACTTCTAAGGGCTGCAAGAACGAGAGGCGGCGGCGGAACGCAGACGTCACCAGCCCCAGAGGCCACGCCCTCTCCCCTCTCCCCAGAGTTTCTGCTTATTTTCAATGTTTGTGACATTGACTCATATACATATCAAGATGGTACCTAGCAGCTGCGACATGTATCAAGGCATGATTTTTATGCTTTTCAAAATCTACATTTCGGGTTTGAAAAATAATTCTGTATCCTTTTTAACTACGGAGAGCCAGACCTGTGCAAAGGTACCGGCCAAGGGCAGCCCAGTGTAAGTCAGAGGGGTCGCGCCCAGGTCACAGCACCTTCGCTGGCGGAGCAGACGACTGTCCTCACTGAGCTCGCCTGCAGTCCGGCCGTGAGCAGTCACTCAAAACTGCACAGTCATTCGCAGAAGCGCCAATAAAAAATAGAGCCTAGGAATAATATTTTGAAAATAGAAAAATAGGTTCTTAAAACATGTGATAATAAATCTCTCTCTAAACAGCATGGTCATATCTCTGTTGAAAACTGTCTCTGATTTTTTCCTACAATACTCAGTGAACGAACGCATCATTCACCTGTTTGCTCCAAGGCGGCAAGTCTTCCTCGCTCGAGACAACACGTTTCTTGGCGAAACTTAAACCTTTGGGTCAGTGTTTTCCTTTCAAAACGAATCAGAAACAAGAAAGTTTGGGTGGGTCAGAAAACCTTGTCTCTTCACATTCAAAATATTCTACGTGGGGGTGTCATCTCTCTAAAAATCTCAGAATCTATTTGTAAAAGTAGTTTTGGGTTCATTTGGAATACCCAATCCTTGAAATATTAAAAAAAAAAAAAGAAACCCCCCAAAGCCCTCACATGAACTATTCGAATGTTCTCCAACCTCTCAATTTGGATAATAAAATACTGTTTTCTTAAAAAAATAACACTTTTGCCTTATGCAAAAGCAATAACATTTCTGCCCACATGAGAATACCTAGACCAAAGAATTCTAACACACCATGTGACTTGGATGTGGTTTTGAAAGCCCAAACCGGGAATTTCTGGTTTTACAGAATCTACATTTTTTCTTTCCTAAGTGATTCCAAGATCCTAATTTTAGGGTCTTTCCACACAGAAACTGCCACATAAAACCAGAAAGACTCTTCAGGTTTGTCTGCTGTGCTGATAAGATTTCCTGACTTTAAAAGCTCTGTTTGCTGTATGGCATAGTCCATTCTTGCCTCAAAACAACCGACTTCTGATGCAGCAAGAAGCAAGCACAGAGCCTGATCATGGGGCGGGGGAGGGGCTGAGGAAGAGGCCACAGGTGCCGGTGGGACGGCTGTCCCCTGCCTCGTCCACTCCCTCCCTGGAACGGTTCCCGGTGTCAGGTGAGTGTGGACTCGCGGAGAAAAGGCTGCTCTGCTTCTCATCGGGTCACCACGTCCCTGCAGCTGTTCTAAACTCTGACTTCTGAAACCAGCAGACATTACTCGGTTCGTTAAGACAGCTCTGATGTCAGGGTGCCTTACACCGAACCCCGAACTTCTCCCGAATCGCGTACATCGCGCTGGTGGGAATTCTGCGGCTCATGGAATAAGAACGAGGAACAATACATACTGCCTACTAGTGGCATTATACCCACTCGTGTATCTCAGACTTAAATACACTTGTTATTCCGTTGATACATTTGGATTAAGCAAGCATTTTACATGTCTCAACTGTAGTATAACTTTTTCTCAAAGCATGAACACCCACACTTTAACATCAATTATTGTATTACAAAGAGTTAATGAACTTAGTACAATACTGTAGGTAGTATAATAAGGAAGACTTCCTTAACAGGAACCATAACTGTCTTGACAGAGTCGATCGGGCTTCCGTCCTCACTTACTGTCTCTCAAACATGCAGTTAAGAAACCAGGGCCCAGATCTGCGGAGCACCTCGATCGCGGGTTTTGTGCGTCGGCAGCAAAACTGGACGCCGGCGGGGAGTGTGGCTCTCCCCGCCAGGATGCTCCGCAAGGACGAGCAGTCTTTCGGGGGGTGCCCCGTGCCGTGACCACGGAAGCCGCGGACCTCCAGACACGCAGGCCGGCTGTACGTGCTCCCGCTGCTCCGACGTCCCCTCGGCCTCGGCGGGGAGGGACAGCGGCGGGCCCTCTCCGGGAAGAAGCCAGCACTGGCTCTCCTCTGGGCAGGTGGAGAGGCTCCCTTGGTAAAGAGGTTCGTGTTCCTGGACGTGCTTGAATCAACGCCTTGTCGGCTCCACAGCCAGCGTCCTGGACCCCCAGGGAGGCTCCCGTCCCGGCCTCGGCTTCTAGCGCTTGATCACCACCTGTTCGTACGCTCCAGACGCCACCCTACAGCGGCAGGAGGGGAACACAGCTTAAATGTAATTTCCAGCAGTAGCGACCGAAACTGCGCCAGTTAGCCTGGGCTCCAAAGACAGTGCAGGAGGCATTTTCTACTAGATTTGAGTTCCACGGGGGTTGGAGATATCCCAGAGGGAAAACACGTGAATACCAAACGTCTATAATTAAGACACTGGATTAGTCCAGTCCCCGGATCCTCTCAGATTTAACTCCCACAATAGTCTAGTAATGGTTCCAAATTCCTACCCTATCAATGCACGGTGGCAAAAATGTTTGTATATAAATCCTAAAATCAGTCCATCCAAGAACAAACATGCACTCGCTGGCAGTTCAGGGCTTGCACAGAAATAATGAACAATAGGGTTTTTTAAAAAGATTTTATTTTTTATTTGTTCTTAGAGAGATGGGAAGGGAGGGAGAAAGAAAGAGAAACATCAATCGGTTGCCTCTCACACGCCCCCAACTGGGGATGTGGCCCGCAACCCAGGCGTGTGCCCCGAGTGGGAATGAACCAGCAACCTTTTAATTAGCAAGCCAGTGCTCAATCCACTGAGCCACACCAGCCAGGGCTCGATAATAGTTTTTAGCTGACTTAATAGTGTGGTGGTTTTTTTTTTTTTTTTAAATCCTGATCTGAAGACATGTTTATTGATTTTAGAGCGAGAGGGAGGGAGGGAGAGAGAGAGACAGACAGACATTGACTGGCTGCCTCCTGTATGCGCCTTGACCAAGAGGAATCAAACGTGCAGCTGGTGCACAGGATGATGCTCCAACCACCTGAGCCACCCGGCCAGGGCAGTAGCGTGGTGTCCTAATGTAACCCTTCCCCAGGAAGGGCAACGATTCTTTGAATCAATATGCAAATCTCTTTGTCCATGGTCTATACTGTAAACTATACCTGTTTAATATAGTTTTTAAAAAAATTTTTGGTTTATTATTGGCTACCTTTTTTTTTTAAAGATTTTATTTATTTATTTTTTAGAGAGAGAAGGGAGGGAGAAAGAGAGAGAGAAACATCAATGTGCAGCTGCTGGGGGTCATGGCCTGCAACCCAGGCATGTACCCTGACTGGGAATCGAACCTGTGACACTTTGGTTCGCAGCCCACGCTCAATCCACTGAGCTATGCCAGCCAGGGCTTTTAATATAGTTTTAAAGGGAAAAGGATCTTGAAGACGGGTTACTTCTTCACTAGCTTGCTTTGACAGGCTGCTGGTTGCACCCCTAAATCCACTCTCCTCTTGCTCCCAGTTTTAGCTAGGCACAGGCTGCTGGGCTAAAGACAACCGCTCCTCCACTCCTCTGTGGACGGGCGCGGCCACGTGACCGGGTTTCCCCAGGGAACGTGAATGGACTGCAGAAGTGCCCGCTTCGGCCTCGGCTGCTGCGAGGAGAACCGCGTGCCTGGGGCTGGCAGCAGCCCAGTGCTGACGGCGCAGGTAAGGAGGACAGTGAAGGATGGAGCAGAGGGCACCTATGTCAACGAATCGCTTCCGGGGCAAAGCTGTATTTTGGGGTGTCTTTGTTACAGCAGCTCAGCCTTTGTCCTAATATGCCAGGTGCCGACTGACCTCTATTAATAAATACGAAGAGTCCTAAAAGACTCAGAATTTGCAGGCTCTGTAAATAAAGTACTCAGAGAAGGACTTTCTTTCTGGTTACTGCTGATGTGCCTTGGCCTGATGTTACAATAAGGCGAACGCACGTGCTCTCCTGTTTCCGGGAGGACAGAGGTTTTCCACGTGCCTGTGAACACAGTGTCTTTCGATGGCGGGACGGTTTACTTTTGCATGAGCCTCACTCTGCCCTGTCCTCGACCCCCTGAGTGGGTACGAGGGGGCTGAAGGGGTGTCGCGTGGACAGAGGGCACTATGAACGTGGGTCAGCACCAGGCACCCATCTACTCACTCATCAGGACGTCAGAGGCAATGTGCTACCTGACATTTCACGGGATATTCCAGAGGTCAGTCGGACCAGAAGAACCACGAGTGGTCTCTGCCCTCCGTGGAACTCTAGGAGGGAATGCTACAAAATGGGAGTACGGCTAGGGTTACCAGCGTGCCACGGACTCAGCTGGCTGCCCAGGGACTCCTGTTCCTACAGATTCAGTCTGAACAAGCAGCAGGACCGTCCGCCACAGGACACCAGTGCACAGCCGCAGAGCACCGGACTTCGAAGGGGCCCCGGCATCCACCACTGCCCACCGGGGCTCAGCTGCACAGAAATGGCCTTTCCCGGGCGATGAAGGGGCAGCAGGGACTGGACTTTCCCTCCTGCTTTGCCTGACTAGGATGCCGGGTGGAATCTATGCAATGGTGGTTTCCGCACCCCACACAACGGGCAGCCTGGGGCCGGTCTTCGGAGAAGGGAAGTAAATGAAGAAGCCCAACAAAGGGCCCAGCTTGCTGCCTGAAGCTCTTTCCCGAGGCTCCTGCCAGCCCCTAGCATGGGGGGTGGGGCCCACCCACAGCTCTCCGTGGCAACCAGAGGTCATAGCTCCACGGTGCTGGGGGTTGGAACTGTAGGCCAGGGTATCCAGAGCGGGGGGAATAATGGCTGGAGAATTTCCAGACTTGGTGAAAGCTTCTAAAAACCAGTGCCCGAGAAACCTGCCAGCCTCACATCCCACAGTTCCATTTCACAAACAGAAGAAGCCGTTATTGGCAGTTCTCTGAGTAGGTTACTCATTCACAAGCCGGAGAGGTGCAATGGTTAAGTGCAACGAACAGGTGTTGGAATCGAAGAGACAAGGGTTTGAATCGTGGTGTTACCACCTTCTAGTCTAACAGTCTTGGGTGAATGACCTTAACCTCTTTGTTGTCTTTGTTTCTTCTTTTCAAAAACTAACAATAGTAAGTTGTGAGTACTTAAAGAGATCATGTAAGAGCTAAATGAAACATACTTATTATTATATAATTACATGTCATGATCATCATGCCTATAAGTTCCTTCAATGTATTCCCACCACCAGGAATATTTCTGTCCCTCATTCCAGCCTGGTAGCTCCCACCTGTCTTTCATTCTCCCGAAGATGCTCTGCAGGTGCCGACTCTTGCAGAAAGTTCTCTCTGACTGAGGTCCCATCTCTGTTCTTGAGAGTCTCCTCCACTTCTCTGTTTTATAGTACTTATCATACTATTATAAAGTCTATCTCACCTGCCAGGAAGGGCCAGTTAATACGTATTCTAGCTTGGTGACCCATATGGTCTCTGCTGTACTACTTAACTCTGCTACTGCAGCACAAGGCATGAAGAGGTGTGGTTGCATTTCAATAAATCTTTCTTTACACAACTAGGCGGTGGGCCAGCTGGGCCCTAGGGCTACAGCCTGCCAACTCATGTGCTAGAACATAAGCCAGCTGAGGTGAGAGCTGGTCTTTCTTCTCTATGACCTTACCCACCACATGGCCCAATAAACAGTTACTGAACTGAATGAGTGGGTAAGTCAGTGAAAGGTATGAAAGGTCTAAATTGTGTTCACAGGCTCTGCAAGCCCCTTTCCAATCAACCCCTTCCTCATCGCATCTTTCTGTTCCTCTCTTACCTATCACACCTGATCGTAGTTAGTAGTTTCCCACGTCAAAATTCCTCTGCATCCTTTGCGCTCTGCAATGCACTAAACGCAGAGTAGACGCTCAAGAAAAGCAGTGCTGGCAGCAGGACTGAATCCGAGGAGAGTGGGAGGGGGGTAAAGATCAGTGTCTGCTGCTCAGCGGCCACATAAGAGCTCCTAACAGACAAGACTTCTGACCAAAATTGTAATTACACTTTGATCCTTCTAAACGATCAGACTGAGGACTCTTTTCTAAACGCCCATTTTACACTGCATCTTGCCCAAGGTTCCACCGGTCCCCTACTAGTACATTCTAAGAATACACCTGAGCAAATCGCCAAAGAAAGGTATAAAATATAATTTCAAGCCTCCTCAGAGCATGGAACAAACAGCTGTAACCCTTCCTGAGAAACCCCTGCGGTCTGTGCGTCCGAGCCGCGGTCTGACGCCGCTCCGTGGCCTCGCCTTCCAGGCGCGGACACGTAAAGGAAGAGCCAGCCTGGCCTTTGCACCACAAGACGCCGCTGGCGCTACGTACCGACTTGTCCGGTGGTGGCTGCCGAAGGTGGTCCTGCCCCCAGGGCCCACGAAGAGCCGCAGTCCCTCCTCTGCACAAGGAACACATTTGTTGTGGGTGCCGTGGTTATTGCCAAATGACAGTCATATCACAGTCAGTGCCTGTTTCCCCGTTCAGTTTTATTAAAGAAATTAGAGACTTACGAAAGCTACCCACATGGTTTAAAGCGGACGGTTTAAGAGCTAACCCTGATCGCCGTTTCTCATCAACTCTCCTAAAGCTTTTTTCTTAAAACCGAGTGAAGAAGGCAGCTCTTCCTACGAATTTCCACAAGAGAGGTTCAATTATTTCCCTCTACAACCACGCACATAATGGAACCAAGTCCATTGTTAACTGCTCTCTATTCACGCCAGCGTGAATAATTACACCTTTCGAATGGGTGGCATGCGAATGTTTCAGCTGCGGTGGAGATGCGCAGGAGGGCAGGAAGGATTCTGTTGTTCACCATTTCAAGTTCACGGCCCAGCCTTCCAAACCACGACAGTGACTGGAGGCACAAAGGCCCAGTTATGACAAAACGGATGTAAATATCTATCGTATGGTATACAAACCTGGCAGGCACTGATGCATAATTAAAAAATACAGTTAAGAACTTCCTTTAAAATTACCTTTCTAAAGTTCGTGCTTTACCAAATTTAACTCCCATTCTCAGAAACTGATGAGCTACGAAGCTATCTTCCGATTTTATGGGTGTCCAATACACTTCACAAATGTGCGACAGACAGCACCGCGACACACTCCTCTTTGCTGCTCACCCCCAGGGCACGCCCCCACAGGTGCCGCGCGTGTGCACGTACCTGGGGCTGGCCCACTCACCTTCTGCACTGGAGTCCAGGCTGAAGTCTTGGCTTTGTAAGATTTTCTCCACAATGTCGTCTGCGTCCACTCTGGTGTCATCAACCCGCTTCAGCTGAGATTCGACCGAATCCTGTTTCACTGGGCATCTTTGAAAACAATTTTGAAAAATGTCCTCCTTTATACGGTCATGAAAACAAAGCCCACCCCACCCCCTCCCCTCCCCCTCCCCCTCCCGGCCCCAAAGGATACCTGCTGAGTGTTTCGGAAGCCGGGTCTTCCTTATCGGCAGTATCCAGGCCTGCCTCCGCCCCTTTGTGCTCCACCTCGTCACACGGCTCCAGAGTGCTCTCGATGCCCGTGGAGGTGCTCCCCACGGAGGTGTTCCTCCTGTGGCAGAACTCGGAGAAGCTGGACGACCGCGAGTGGCAGGAGCTGTACCCTGTGGGAGGAGAGCACGGCGGATGCGGCCCCGACGCCGGACATGCCGCCGCCCAGCCCTCCCCTCCCCCGCCGCAGCCGCTTCCAGGCCCAGGGAGCAGTGGGTGTCTGAGGACCCGGGCCGCACCGCCAGCCGCTACCTGACACTTTGGACTGCTGGCTGGCGTAGCTCGACGTCCTCGAGTGTCCGCAGGCCCCGAGTTCATCTGGAATAGAGGCGCTCTTCGCGGAGGGATCTGTAATGCGTCACGACACAATGTTACTGTTACGGCCAACGAGTCGTGGCCAGTGACACTCTACTCTGTGCATCTTATAAACTTCCAAGTTCATTACCAAGAAAAGCAAGCTGCAAAGTGAAAGCGATCCCTTTAAGTCCGTACGATGGGAACAACTGTATTGCAAGAAAAGTAAGAAACTGAAACACCTTAGTTTCCCGAAGAAGTATGGCATTTTTCATAAGATTTAACAGGGCTCTATCTTAAAAGAAACTTTCAGTTTTTACTGCTTAGCATTTCTAATAAAAAAAATGAGTCAGACGTGTCTCATAAATTCCCACAGCGTTGCCAGGCTTTCGCGCGGTGTTGGAGGGAACCCTGCTCTCAGAGACCCGCCGCCGCAGGGAGCGGACGGCCACTCGGTTATGGCGACATCGCGCTGCCAGCGCCAGGCTGCGAGGGGCACAGGCCAGCGCTGGAGGTCAGCAGGGCAAGGAGCGCAGCGCTGCGAGGGAAAGTCGGGAGGAAGTGGGCTGCACACAGTATTCAGTCTCAAAGTCAATGCACGAAAAAGCCGTGTCAAGGCCATTTCCAGCAGCTCCCTGATAGCGTGCCTGTCCCAGATGCCAAGGATGTGTTTCCAGCACCGGGCTCCCCGCCCAGGGCGCAGAACCGTGACCGTGTCCACGGCGCGGGGAGCGGGGAAGGATCTGGAAGCAGAACTGCTCTTCACTCGGAGGCGGAAGGGAACCCGCAGGGCAGCACAGCAGTCCTGGCGGCAGCTCCACAGCGAGACCGCGCACAGGGGGACTGACACGTGCCGCCGGACACGGACGCCACGGGGCCGGCCGGCCCTTCCGCACGGGCCCGCATTGCCGGACAGACTGGAGGGCGCCGTGCACACCAGCACCTCGTCCTGCTCTACCGGGGTCCCGAAGCCGCAGACCAGAGACGACGACATCTGAGCTCAAAGACTCGCTTCCGACCGAGATCACGCAGGACTGACACCTTGCTCTCAGCGTGGGCTCTGATCCCGACTCACCCACTTATCTACTGGCTTCCAAAACGCATCCACTCAGTAAATATTTACTAGGCTCTTACCCGGTTAGGTGTCAACACTGTGGGAGATACAGGGGGCACAAGATAGGTAAGACAGACCACATGCTCCGAGGTCAGAAGCAGAAGCACTAGCAAGTGTGAAAACATGCACAAGCACCACGAAGGAGCCACTGAGAGCTCCGACGGGCAGGGGCTTCGACCGCCACCTGCTGACGGGGGAGAGGCCTCGTGGAGCAGGGAGGGCGACTCCCGGGCCTCAGCCACGTCTAGGAGTTGCCGGGGGAGAGAAGGGGCGACAGGCACAGGGACAGCACGGCTGGCCGGGCAGAGCTGGCTCGGAGGGCGCAGGTGCAGAGGATCGCGGGGAACAGGGACGGGAGCAGGTGCCTGCTGCTGAAGGACTCCATGAGTTCCAAGAAGGATGCGGCACGACCGGACCTGCCTCTCGGGAAGATCACTTTGGCAACTGGGTAATTGGGTGGGGGGCAGGGGTGACGGTTTTCACAATGACCCAGCCGAGGGCGGGAGGTGCCTGGCAGGCACGGATCACAGCGCTGGCTGCTCAGCAGAAGTGGGTGTCCAGATAACCGAGAGAGAAACTGCAGGGGGAGGAGGAGGCGGGAAGACTTGAACTGGATACTCGGGAACCAAGACACACGAGGACACCCACTTGCCACCCACTGAGTTTCTGCTGTGTCCCGGGCGTTGTTATGCTGGAGACACAATGATGAGACCTGCTCGGGGGGGACTCAGCATCCAGCGGAAGGGGAAGATGAACAGGTGGCTCTCAGTCTAAGACGGGACGTGACGTGGACCTTTCCAAACAGCCCCCGGAAATGTGAGCCTGCAGCTCAGGAGGGAGGCGGGAGGGGACACAGATGTGTCCGCGGAAAGGATGGGACTCTCACCGACACAGTCACATTAGCATTTCTACGGCAGTTATTACGTCCGAGGGTGTGGACAACAGCGTCCAGGGAGAGTGAGTGCAGGGAACCGGACCCTGTGGAACATCAGTATTTAAACAGAAGACGAGAGAAGACAGAGAAGCCCCCAGATGCTAGAACAGGAAAGGCCAGAGGCATGGGAGCCACGGGAGGAGGAAGCTTTGAGAAGGATAAACGGCCAAGACAGACGAAAGCAGAAAAAGTGCCCCAAGGAAGTGGCAGTCACGTCACGGGAGGCGTCAAGCGAGGCAGCGGCAGAGGCCAGGCTGCGTGTATGTTTGGGAATAAGAGGGCAGCATGTTCTTGCTGGATGTGGGGCCACAAAGAGTGCGAGAGAGGGGGAGGGGGAGGAGAGCAAGAGCCTGTGGATGAGCAGCAGAGGAAGAACTCAGCCCTGGCCAGTGTGGCTCAGTGGGCTGGGCATCCCTCTTGCACAGTGAGAGGTGCCGGTTCCACTCCCGGTCAGGGCACAGGCCTGGGCTGCAGGCTCCGCCCCGGCTGGGGCACGTGTGGGAGGCAACTGATCAGTGTTTTCCTCGCACACCGATGTTTCTCTCCCTTTCTCTCCTTCCCTTCCCCTCTCTAAAAACAAATAAAATCTTTTAAAAAGTGCTGGCAAGGAGGAGCTGACGGAAAGGTACAAAGGACCCACAGACCCCAATCCTGCAGTGCCCTGTTGTAGCTGCAGGGGGGCGGCAAGCAGAAGCACACAACAGTGGGGGGTGTGTGTGGGGGGGCTGCGTCATTGCGACTTCAGGCGTTTCATCCGTCTGAGTGTAGCACTTAGATGAGACTAAGAGTTTACCTAAAAACTGCGTAACTGACACTGTGAGACCCACGGACCCGTTTCAAGCCACCCACCCACCGAACTTTAAAGCTGGGAGGGACCGTGGGAATCTCACAGGTGGAAAAACCGGTCGATCACACACCCGTACCTGCTATTCCAAGGTGGACTTTGAGGGTCTCTCCCCCCTTCCTGTCTTCTTCCAGGGACTCGGCTTCCCCGGCAATCGGTATGGACATGGACGTCGAGGGGGGCCTGTGAAGAAGCATTTGGAAGCGTCGGCACTCGGCTCTCAGGCTGGAGACTGGTTGTACAGCCAGTCCACGGCCTCCGTGAGGTGCCTGCAACGTCACGTCTTTGAGGGTGACGTTCATAAAAATCAACAAATAACGTACGAGCATCCTCAAGCCTGAGTAAAATTCACGGCGGGGGGGAGAAGAGTTCACACAGCCAAAAAACGTGAGACCAGAAAGCGAGCCCAGAAAGGAGACGAGGACTCTGCCCACGCGTCCCCAGCACTACCAGTGGAGGGCGCTCCATCTGCCGGCCCCAGTCCCGCTGCAAGCCCCTCCCGCCTGAGGTTGGAGGGCAATACCTCACACCTTTGGTCGGGGCCTACACTCTCTGCTGGCTCCACTGACTTCTTACATAGTGTCCAGGTTTTCTTTTCCACCTTCTTCTTGAAAACAGTTTGCCTGCCCCAGGGAGAGTCTATACAGATCTGCTTTTTGGGCTGGATTCTCTGGAAGCCGGTCGCGGGTGTATTTTTCTTGGCTAACTCAGGGCTGCTATCTCCTTGTGGAAGCTGTGAAGCAGGGCGGGGCAAGTTTGAGCTCTAGCAGGGTTTTTTTTTTTTTTTAAATAAAACATCCCAGGCCTTCTGAGGGTGATTTTCCAGAGGAAAACCACATTTCTGGAGACTGGGTGACCTGGGCTGAACCAGGAAGGTGGCCCAGGGATCGCAGAGCTGATTCGGAGCCCCGAGGCCACAGGCATGTAGGAACGCCACTAAACCCATTTTATTGATGGATTACTTACACCCCAGCATCTCCTCATTTCCAGAACTCCATACCCCACTGAGAAGCCTTCAAGCATCTGTCCTGAAGGAGCATCGAAGTCAGTGCACCTCACTGAGGTCTGTCCCCGGACACAGCCCCTTTCTCTGCGAGCGCTGTCAGAGTCCACGGAGTCTCCTGACGAGAGCGCCCCCCCCCCACCAGCCTCTGTCCCCTCCCACTCCCATTTCTCCACATGCCATCAGCTCCCAAATCTCAGATTCGCTCTCAGTACGTTGTGTGGTCGTTTTCCGATTCATCGTCTCGTCTCCTCTTGCAGTAGGGACTTCAGTCGGGCCTCTGTCCTTGTCCTGGATGACACGGCGTGTCTCCCAGCAGGTCTGCCTGCCCCGATGCCCTGCTACGGTCACTGTGCCCTTTCTGCAATGTGCATACGGACAGGTGACTCTCTGATTTAAAACACTTCAAACACTCCTTAGGGACAAAGCTCAGACTCCTCAGAAAGGCACTGCAAGGCCGTCTGAGCTCTGGCCCAGACCTGCCCCTTCCATGACCCAAAGCTGCATCGTTAATACAGCCAAGTCCTCACGTGACATCGTCGAGGGGTTCAGCACCTTGAAGCGGGGCAAGGTCAACTCCACAACAGGCCGACTGAGATAAACAAGGGTTAGTTCCTACATTATCTCATCAGTGTTAAGCACAAAAGAATGGAGTCTACAATCAGGCGTCAATCACTGATGGTGGCTCAGGCCCACCTAAATTCTTTTAAAAAAAAAATTCTTATCTCTAGAATGCCAGTTCCTTTGGTTTTCCTTTCTCAGATGGCCTGATTACAGTGTCTCCTCCGGCCCTCCACCTCTTCCCTTCCTCCCTGTCTATCACTCTCCCGCTGGATCCCCGCTTTCCTGCCTGGCCACGTCACAGCCACCGCACTGTCAGCATTACCCTCGGCCTGCAGCCCCGAAAACCTGGGGAGCCGCGGCCCTTGCTCATTTCAGCCGCTGCTGAAATTGAACTGCTCTAATCCTGGGGCCCCGAAGCATCGCAGACTGAACTCGCCCACACGGGGGCTGACAGGAAGGCAAAGGTAGGACCCAAGATCTCGGCAGGGCCTGGGCAGCTCCCTCGACACGGTGCTGAATACATCATCACTGAGCACCCCTTTGCCCTGAAAATGTTTGCATATCCCTTATCAGAAACGGTTTAATACAGCTCAACTACAGCAACAGAGGAGGTGTTTTTGTTTGTTTGTTTGTTTGTTTGAATGTCACAGTCACGTTAAGAGCACAGGAAAAATGACCTCCCACGATGGCAACACCACCACGGGCCATCAGTGACTACTCGGCGCCCTAGGACAGCGCCACCAACTCGGGCAAGCTGGGCTCCCCTCCTGGAATGCCCCCCCTCCTCCCTCCACGTGGTAACTCCTCTTACTCTCCACCCGCTGACACTTAGCTCCGCGTCACTCCCTTGGTGAAGACGCCCCAGAAAAGTGGTTGGGGACCCCTGTCCTCCGGGCCTCCGTAACCCCGCAGGCCGTGTGTCCATCTCCCACACCCTCTGGAGACTGTGGGTCCTCCAGAGTGGCAGCTGGTCGTGATTCAGTTTGGTGAGTGTCTCGGCACAGGGCAGGCACCGGGGACACAGGTACCAAATGAAGGGGTGCATCCCGGGACCCCAAGACTCCACATCCTCACTTAAAAATATGGAAAATACTCAAGTTGCAGAGTTACGAATTAAACTGGGAGCCTGGAATATTCGTTAGATCGTCTTGACGAATGGTGATTTCCTTCCTTCTGGAGTATAAACGCTCCCGAGCCCTCGCTATTCCAGAGGGTCATGGCACCCCCAGAGCTGTGTCGCCACCGTGACCGAACGCCGGTACTGTGTATGGCTGTCCTCTCAAAACACCCTTTCCCTTTGTCAGCGCCGGTGGTGGCTTTCTGTCCTGGGTCGGTTCCGCTCTCCTGCAGGAGGCGGTGGGTGTCTGACGAGCTGCAGAGAACCCCCAAGTGGACCTGAGGGCAGGTGGCTGGAGGCTGCCTTACCGGTGGTCTCTTCCATCTGCGTCGGCCTCCCAGCGCAAACCTGCCTCAGAAAAACCCCACCATCTGTGCCCCAGACTCTCTGCCCATAAAACATCCCAACCTGCACTCAAACCTGAGGGTGTCAAGGGTCAGCCCTGCTCGTTTTTTTTTTTTTGGGGGGGGCGGGGGTGTGTGTGTTTCCTTTCCTTTTCGTGTTTGCATTTTTAAAATCTTTTTCCTCTCTTGTTTTCCTAGATTTTAAAAACATTGCATCATGAAAAATTCAAAGGCAGGCACAAGCGGAGGGAAGAGCGGACTGAGCCGCTCCAGCAGTCACTTAAACCTGTGCCCTGCAGGCGAATACACAGGTCACTCAGTTGCTCTGTGCCTTGAACTTGGATTATACAGACGCTTTTGAATTGTCTTCATGAAGCTCCTTTCATAGGGGTGGGAGGGTATTGCACCTCTGACCCTCGCTAGAAAAATGTTACATGCTAGAATTCATAATACAGTTGCGTACATTAATTTGTGGCTAAATATTCTGGAAAACAAATCACCAAACTAGATAACTTCCAACATTCTTTTCAGCCATAAAGGAGTACTGTGATTTTACATATTTGATATATGTTAAAATATAACTTGATAAAAAATTTACTTTTTTGTATCGGTAGTTCGAACATTTTCCTGTTCAATTCCTACTCAGTATGTGTAGGTGGGAGAATTGCCCTTTTTCCACTGAAAGTTGCACAATTTCAGACATTCAAAGATAAAACAAATATTGGCGGTTTGATTCTCCCAAGAAATATTTTAACTTCTCTTGTGATGAGGTGATGCCTGTTTATTCTAATAAACTATAAAAGTCTCCACAAATATAAACTCTAGTCTGTCAGAACTGTATTTGTGGTGCTGACACAGAACCCAAGGGGACCTAGTTTTGAGCGTTTTAGCATTTGGGTGTTGCAAGCAGGGAGGGAACATGGCAGAGAAAGGGCCAGCGAGAGAGACTGTTCGGGAAAAGCCCACGAGAAGAAAGGATGAATTCATTTTCTCCCACTAAGTTTTGCTATTCATTTTCTCCTTTTACCCTAAAGTAACAGAAAAACACTGTTGCCCATGAAACCAAAAAGAGTATAGTGAAAATGGTTTAGTCCCGAGAGAACAGGAAACTAAGAAAAAAGCCAGGAAATGATGGTTTGAGAGAAGACAGCAGAGGAAGGCTAAGTCAGAGGAAAACACGTAGTTTCAATCGATAATTGATTTATATTAAGACGTATATTTTCATCCTCATGAAATGGTTTGTAAGAAGAAAACTACATAGATGTTGCTATTAAAACATAGAGTTGATGATGCACAGGGACATAATTAATGCTTCCTTTTCTAAACATATTCTTCTCAGATATTTAAATAACATCTAATTAGCTTTCATGTTTAATTATTGAGTGTCTTGCAGATCGCTGACAGGCAACCCCTACTTCCTCCCATTCTGTTCACGCTCTAGATCTGCTCTCCGAGAGCCTTTTACAGCCTCCCCCTCTCTCCCCAACCCCCACCTCCGCACCTCACCGCCCTGCTCCTCTGGGGTCGCCTGGCTTCCCATTTCACTCGGAAACCAGGAGCAATGTGAAAATAACTTCCGCGTGCTTCCCCTCCTCATGTACCTGCATCTGTGGCCACGCTCCCTGCCTTGCTCCCCCTCGACAACCCAAGGCACGGTTCCGGCAGTTTTCCTGTCCCCTCTGCACCACGCTTCTCCCTCTCGACTGGGCCACTCCCGGCCGCGGACAAACCCAGCCGTGCCCCCTTGTCTGTGGGGTGCGTGTCCCAACTGTGGACAGCCCCGAACCCTGCATGTCCTGTTTTCCTGCACGCACATACCTACGGTAAAGGTTGACGTGCAAATTCAGCACTGTGAGGGATTAACAGCAACGACGCGTAATAATAACATAGAGCAATGGCAACAACACCGTCAGGGTTGTCGGCACACAAGCACTGTGATGCCGTAGGAGTCGATCTGATGAGCCAGACGGCTACCAGGTGATGGACAGTGGGTCAGTGTGTCCAGAGCGGAGACGCTGGACTACGGGGTGATTTAAATCCCAGGGGGACAGGGTGGGTTGGCATGGGGTTCCCCGATGCTACTCAGAATGGCATGAGCCTTAAAACTTATGAGCTGTGTATTTCTGAAATTTTCCATATAATATTTTTGGACCACGGATGACTGTGGATAACTGAAATTGCAGAAAGTAAAACAGCAGAGGGGGGAACCCGACTGCACTCACCGTCTCCAAATCTCTTCCCAAACCCTTCGTAACCCCCTTCCATGAGGCCGTCATCTAAGGTAGTAACCCCCTTCCATGAGGCCCTCATCCAAGGTCGTAACCCCCTTCCATGAGGCCATCATCTAAGGTCATAATGCCCTTCCATGAGGACGTCATCTAAGGTCATAACCCCCTTCCATGAGGCCGTCATCCAAGGTCGTAACCCCCTTCCATGAGGCCCTCATCCAAGGGCATGCTGCCAAAGTGCTTGACAAGGTCGCCGATGACGTCCAGGCCGCAAAAGCCGAAGGTCAGCCCTCAGTCCGTTTCCCTGATCTACTTCCCTAGTGTGTGACGCCATCGATCACTGCCTCCTTTTTGAAACAAGTTCCTTGGTTTCCGGACAGTCCTTTCCTTGGGTTCCTTCCTCCCACCGCCCTGGTTGTTCCTGGCTGGTTCTTCCCTGGCCCCAGCCTCTCACGTGCTGGAGGGCCCCACACTGCTGCACTTTTCTTTCTTTGTATCCACTCCCTCTGGGTCCTTTAACCAGACCTCGTGGCTTTAACGGGTGTCTCTCGAGGTGCTGCTGATGTCATGGTCCTGAGTCGTGTCGCCAGCCTGGGCTTCCCACTCAACCCTGCAGTGATGTATCCAGCTGCCTCCTCAATGCGCCGGCTGGATGTAAATTGGGATTTTAAACCTAATGTATCCAACGCCCAATCTGACCTTCCTGGAGAACCTCTCGGACACCCTCCCGTTTCAACACACAGGAAAACCACTCTCCTGGTTTCTCAGGCCTCAACCCCGGATCGCTGAAGCGGCCGCCCAACTCATCTACCTGTTCTCCCCACCCCTGCCCCCTTCCCTGCTCCCCCAAACGGCTCCCCAAACGGCTCCCCACCCGCAGCCGTAAGTCAGACCACGTTACTCCTCTGCTCTATACCCTCCGGGAGCTTTTCACCTCATTCAGATTGTAAGTCGCCGATGAGACTATCACTACAACGGCCCACAAAACCCTTCATCAGCTGGTCTCGTCTCCTAGCACCTTCCCCCTCCCTCACGCTGTTGCCCACAGGCTGGTCCCCTGGCAGTCACTCGGGCACGCCAAGCACGCTCCTCCCCGAAGGCCTGCGGGGCCTGCTCCCGCCTCCTTCGGGTCTCCACTCCAGTACCGTCTCCCCGACTGTTCCCTGTAAAACAGCGACAGCTCTCCCCACCATGGACGGACGGTCCTTCCACCCCGAGTTACGTGTCGCCAGAGCACTCGCGGCCACCCTTCCGTCACAGGATCCCTCCTCAGTCTGTTGCCTGTTTCAGAGCACAGGCTCCAAGGTGCCAGGGACCCTGCCCGTGCCCCCTGCTCTCTCTGTCACGTCTAGAAGACGGCCCGGCACAAGGTACGGCACCAGGTGTCTGTTCAAGCCATGAGGAAGTCCAGGGAGCTCGACTGAAAAGTTTTAACGTGTATGATTCCACCTAAAACCTGAAGATGACAAAAGGCGCAGGGTTTAAACGATCCAGGGTGTGCTGCACTCCCAGGCAATAGGTTACAGCACCTTCTCCTCTGAGGGTCGGGGGGTCACCCAGGGGAGCAACTGGCCTTTCACTGGTATTAGCTTGTAAACACTACAAAATGGGAACCCCAACCCTGAAACAAGTCAGTCACTATTGTAACTTCCAGGGGAATAACTCATTCACTGAGCATCGACTTACGTTTTGAAGCACGGGTCCCCGGACATCAGCTGCATGCTGATTAAAACCTAGACGGAAGGAAAGGAGACACGGTGACCCCACAGGGTCTCCCGGCGGGGGAGGCCCGGCTCCGAGCACTCACGCAGCCTCCGCGGCCGCGCGCTCGGGGCCTGCTCTGCAGGAAGGCTGAGTGACGTGACGGCTGAACTGTTTTACGCCCAGCGTGGAACTGCCGCTTTATGCAGACGTGGACTGAACGTCCTTGCTAACACTCAGAACCGTGTCACTGCAAAAATCAGGGTGGAACGCGCAGAAACGGAGGGCAAGTGCTTCAGCCGCAGGGGCCCCGGGAGTGCTGTGCTGGGCGAGTTTGTCTCGGCGTCGCCTGCCAGCTGGCCGGCCGTGCTGTCCCCTCCCGGCCCTGTTGTCACTTCACGGGGTGCCTGCGGGTGGCTGGCAAGAGCAGAACGCTTCCCGCCTTCGCCCCAGCTTTAGATCAGGGTTGAAGGCGTTGCCGACATTTTCTGACATGCGGCTGTTCACTAGTTGCTGGCTGCCTTTAAGGGTCAGCCACGGGATCTTCTTACGTTCTTCTGGGACTAATGGTGACAATGCCAGTCGTCACTGACATTAACAATGATCATGACTGGAGAACATAGTATATGCCGGGCCTACGATAAGGGTTTTATGTGGATTATTTCATTTAATCTTCAGAGCTTCTAAGAGAGATTAATGCTTCTATTTTAAGTCTGGGAGGTTAAGTGATATTTTCAAGGTCAGGAAGCTAGCAAAGGGGTCTAGACCCAGAGTGGAATGTTACTAAAACTCGTGGTCTTAATGAAGACTGCCTGTTTCCCACTAATGGCTGACACGTACGTGTGCTGTGCTGCTGCTTCCTCACCACCTCTCCTGACACAGAACTTGACAGTCTGGTCTCCAGCTCCACCAAAACAGCGCTTTGGAGCTGGAGCTGGAGATGAGGAAGGTGCGGGCAGCTTTCAAGACACCGCAGGGAGGTGGAAGACAGAAGTGAGTCCTGGCTGGAGGAGGTGAGAAGTTGCCAGAGCCCTTTCCTTCTATGTTAATGAGGATGGTTCACATTCAAGAGAGAGAGGATTAGGTAAAGAGATCCCCCAAGGGGCGGAGCTCTGGATTGGGCAAGTTTCAGATTCTAGAACCTAGGAGGAAGGACAGACAGACTTCTCCCAGGCAGAGGGACACTTCATTCATTGTAACACGAAGCAGAGAGGATGACAGGGCTGGAGAGACCAGAAGACATAAACTCTGTGATGGGAAGAGGAGAGAATTTGAGTTTAACGGCATCTGTTTTCTTAATAAAGGATGATGCAAAACCACCAGAGTGGCGTGTGGAGACACGAGGAGAAAAGCCACGAAAAAGAATACCAAGGTGTGGCTGTAAAACCCCGGGGACAGTGGCCGAGGGAGACGGAAGGTTCTGGAGTCCCAGGCTCTCCTCTTAAAGGGCCCGCATGCGGACTCACTCGGACTCGCTCCTCAGAGCTCCAGCGCCTCGAGAGGCACCGGGGTCAGAGGGATGGTGACAAAGGTGAACTGATTGACAAGTACAAGTTGGTAGTTACAGGGACGTGGAGTGCAGCGTAGGAAATACAGTGCATGATATTCTAGTAACTCTGTGTGGTGTCAGATGGATGTGAATTTATTGGGATGATCACTGAGTAAGTTATAATAATGTCCAATCACTAGGGTGTACACCTGAAACTAATATAATGTTGTGTATCAACTGTAATTGAAAAATAAAAAAATGGTTACAAAAGTAAAGGGAAAAGAACACCTAGATCACCGGGAAAGGAAGCTTACACGGGAAGCAGGGTGTGGCTGTTTGCTGGCGGTGAGCACGGTGTTGGTGACTCCAGCCGCACTTGGTTCGACAACAGGACACAGACCCACGGGGGACGGAAGGGTCTGATTAGGGCTGGGCATACCCAGGGGACAGCAACGGAGGGAGACGAGGACCAAGGATCAAGGGGCACTTTTCATTTCTTATCATTTAGATAACCTAACTAAAATACAGCAAGAAGTTTATCCAGTGAGTCTTCCTAGGTGCAAGGCACTTTACAAACACTTTCTCAAACAGTCTCATTTAGTGTATTCTGCCCGGGGCCACCAGAATGTTCGGCTCCGGATGGTACTTGGAAACAAGTGGGCAGACACCCACAGTGACTTCCGACTGTTAATCCACTGGTTCGAAGAGGACCCAGTGACTGCTGTGTGGCCACCACAGCTGCTCTGGAAATCACCGTTTGGGAGCTATAAGCATTTGCAGGTGCTCATTCACCACACTCCCTCCTGCCCACGAGCCCGAGGCCATGGTGGTTCAGTGCGCTGACCCCTGAGTGGCCACGGCACCAGAGAGAAACCCCTGAGGGTCAGGAAGGTGAAATTCTGTGACTCTCCACTGTGTCTGTGATTCTGGGACTTGGGTAGTCTTTGCCCTAGCTGGTGAGCATTTCAGTGGTGTGCTCAGCTCATGGGATCATCAGTAGCGACTCCCATCTTGCCCTTGACAGCAGACAGCCAGGCTTACTTAAAGGCAGAGAACCTCGTGTGTTGACATGTACATCTTGAAAGGTGCTTACTTTAAGGATGGAATTATCCTGTCTCGTGTTTTTGGTGTCGTAGCCTTCCAGCAAACAGCGGCGAGTGGTAGTTCCCGACCCAGCGAACTCTGCCAGGTTTAGATCTGCAAAGCCCAGCTGCGAAAAGAAAAAAAAAATTACTAAGAATATCTACTAGGCTTCTATCATATTCTTCTTAAAATAAACATTCACCTCACGTTCTAGACAAGTTATTGCAAACTGCCATCATTTGCAATTGTTGCTACCTTAACAATACCTGCTCTATTATCTGCTTAGTGTGTGTCTTTAAATTGGCTCATTTCTGGTAAAAAATGTATTCCCTAATGTACTCATTTTAAGCAATGCAATCTTTGAAATCACGGATTTGATGTGCTAAATGTATTCTTCTGTACACATTAAAATATATAACTGTTGTGGTACAAATAAATAATGCATATTCAGCAACTGAACTCATTGCAAGGAGCAGGGGTACTTGAACTAGAGGAAACACTAGCAAACCAATCAAGGTCATGTGCAGGGACGTACAGGACACTGACCAGACTTGCTTCTTCCTACTCTGCTTCCGCCTTTATTCCCAGGCAGCCCCTGGTGGCTGCAGGCAGCTGCAGGTTATTAGAGTCACTCTCCACTCAAGAACTAGAATGATTTACATACACGTCATACACGTTTGTTGGTACAAACCCCTTCTCCTTTGGCACCTTCCATAACCTTGTCTTGCTGATCGCCCTTGCGCTGAGTCTTTCTTGAAAAACCCTACTTCTTCCCTTCCCCAGAGCTCAGCCCCACACCAGCCCTCGGGGCTGCTCTACAGAAGTCCGGCTCAGACCCGTTCCTCCCTGGTCACTGTCTTCTGCTGCTGCCACAGGCTGCCCTCCAGTCTTTCCTCTGATGTCCATCAACCCTTGACTGTGTTTCCAAGCGGTCAACCCCATCATATCTTTTTTAAAGAACAAATTAAGTCTATTCTGCATGACCAAGTGTACATAGGTTTTTGGTTAACAACAACAACAAAAAGTTTTGCATCTACAATTAAGCACATTTCTCTACATGTATAATAAAGACTACTGACCATGTGAAACACTGCTATGCTTTTTTTAAGTTACTTACTTTAAGATTTTAGTAACACATGGGGCAATATGCATGACATTTGAGATGAAGATTTTAGTTGCAGACTGGAGCATCATTTTAGGAGCTTTGACGTGGTACAAAAAGAATGGAGAATAAGAACTTAAGAGTCCAGTTAAAGGGCCACAAGCCCCGCATACAGTGAATCAGAACACATCATGCCACAGGTCACATCGACCTAATTTTCACATAGTGCCTCTGGTCTTACTGCCTCTTTTAGGGGCTTCAACAGGTCGGCCAAAGAGCCTGGGTGCGTCCAGGCCAAAGCCACATGTAAGTGTGCACGTGAAGACTCGTGTGGCCACGTGACCCCACACCATCCACATGCCCTATCTCATCCACTCGCCTTTCCCTTTGACCCTCCAACACTTCCTCCGCATCTGCACTCGGTGCTGATGCCTTGCGTCCTCATTCACCAGAAGATGAAAGCCATCAAAACAGCGCTGAACTTTCACAAGCTCTCATCAGCGGCCACATCCACTCACCTGCCTGCACCTGTGCCCATGGACTTGCCTCCCCACTTCCTGGAGGTGAACCGGCTGCGCTCCGGTCTGAGGCCGGCCGCCCCCCTCTTGCTCCCTCTCTTGCACTCTGAGATCTGCCTCCTCTGCTGGGTCATTCCCACCAGCACACAAACCTCACCCCGCATCTCTCTCCAGTCTCCTGAACTGTCTTTCTTCTCCCCCTTCATTGCAAAGCTCCTTGAAAAAGTTGCCCATGTCTGCGGCCCCTCTGACCCTGGCCGCCTCATCAGCTTTATCTCCCCGCTGTAGCCACAATGTCCTTTCCCTTGAAAATGCCAGGTGCACCTCAAGGCCTTTGGCCGTTCTTGTGCCTGAGAGACTCCCTCTCAGATTTCCTTGTCACTGTCTTCCTCGCTCCACTCAGGTCTATGGTCCAGTGTCACCTCTCTAAAGGGGCTTTCCTGACCCCACCTCGCCTGCTCCCTCTGCTGCACTGGAGTCCTCACCTTTCACCCCTGATCTGCTTTATTTCCCCCCTAGTACGTACACACAGATGTCACATGTACTTTGTTTACTGTCTGCCCCCCTCCCCCAGCCCTCTACTAGAACGTGAGCTCCACAAAGGCAGGGACTTGGTCAGCTTTGTCTGCTGCTGCAGCTCCAGTGCTTGGAACAGTGCCAGGAACACTGTCTGGCCCATGGTATGCGGTTAATACCCACTCACTGAATAAAAAACAACCCACTGGCTTACCATCCACTGTGGGAACGCTGGTATCACAGTGTTGTTAGGCAGAAGGAAAGTCAAAGAGAAAAGCATCTGGGCGGTCCCCATTAAGAGAGCATATTAAAAGGTGGGGTAGGTCAGTGGGATGTTTTAGGCCGAAGGGCAGCATGTACTTGGCACCTCTGATGCACCAGGCCCTGTTCCAGGCGATGGAAACGGTGATGAACGGGACAGACAAGGGCTGTCTTGGAAGAGCTTCCACTCTAGGGAGGTACCTGAGAGTCTACACGTCCTTACGACTTCCCTTCGGCTTCTCTGAGGTAACTGTCTCATTAAAATGGTCTCTGTGGTCGATATTACTTCATTTCCCCCCAAAATTCTGAGCATCTACATTCCGGCAAATGCTAGGCGTTAGGAATATATATATATATATGGATCATCCCTATTCTCAAGGAGCTCACGGTTTTTAACAAGGGAAGACAGAAAAGCTCCTATAGAAATCTATGTGCCGTGCTAGCAGGGGACACCGCTGCACGAAAGGGAGAAGAGCGAACTTCTCAGCGGGGAGGGATGAGCAGGCCGAGAGTTCAAGGACAGCGGAGCTGCCAGGACAAGAGAGGGGAGAAGCACACGCATGGCAGGGAGTACGGGTCCCAGGGCAGAGGCTCCGCGGGCAGACGCACGAGAGCAGGGAGTGCAGGAGGCCGTGTGTCTGAGCATGGGGCGAGTGTGGGTGTGTAAGCCCCAGGGTGCGTGTGCACACGCACGTGCAAGTAGGTCATGTGCCACCCAAGACGGGTCTAATATGTGGGGTTAAAGACTTCACGTCCCTTCACGGGAAACAGACAGCTGCTGACAAACGGAAAGTGAGGGGGTGATGTGACCGTGTCTGAATTTTCGAATGATCGCTCTGGCCATATAGAGGAAGGACTGGAGGAAGACAATGCAGACAGAGAACAAAAAATAGCTGGCCAGCGCAGGTTTTAAATAAGAGATAAACGGCATAACCTAATGCGGTGCCCTTGGGAATGGAGAGGAGATGGTTTTAAGGGCTCCTGGTAGGGAAAAAGCAAGAGGAGCTGTCAATCACAGCAGACCCTGCTGTCTGCCCACCCACCATTCCATGCCCTGATGTTCCTTACTGGCAGAGCCCTGATTTTATCTGAGTGTCTACTCTTAGCTCATCCACATGCACAAGGAAAGCTTCCCAACCTCTAGCTCCTTGTTAAATCGTGATTCGTCTAAATGAACCATGCCAATCCATTCCTATTGTTCATGACTGGATTAGGAATGAACCTATGATCCAGCTGTGGCCAATGACAGGCACGGGGAAGTCCTCTGAGGGCCGTCCAGGGGAAGCTTTCTCACTCAAAAAGAGTCGCCCATGGGGAAGCAGCTGGATTTTGTCCTAAGGGAGTGTTGACTACAACTTCAGCAGCCAGCCTCCCGGTAACCACAGAGGGAGCTGGCCAACAACAAAGCCAACACGGAGGGAATGAAAGCACAAAGAGGAACGTAGCTCGGGTTCTTGATGACACTCTCCAGTCAGTGGATCAACCAATCCTGGCCTCTCCAGTCAGTGGATTTACCAATCCCAGAGCAGCTCTATCTTGCATCTACTTGTTTTTCGAGATTAAAAAAACCTCTGGGTGAGGAGGGTTTGCTGCTCCTCATAGCAAAGAGCATCCTAACTGACATGGCAACCTGCTAGTTTCAGGGAGCTGGGCAGACGTGATGGCTGGAACGAGTGCCCCGGGCCTTGGCTCGGATGCTGATGGATGGAGATGCCATCACGGAAACTGGAAATGAAGGAGGAACATGCGGGTTTCTGGGAGTATCACTAATTCCTTCTGGTCAACAAAAAAGGTGCACACACCCTCTAGTAATTCCACCCAGGTAGTGCAAGTACAAAGAACAGTAGAGATCCCACACACACAGAGTGTAGAAGGGCACAGAGGAGGGGCTCTATTCTGCTGGGGAGGCGGGACTGGAAGTACCTCTTGGGAGAATGAATGAATGGATGCTACTGCTTAACGCACACCGGCGATCATCTTCCATTTGGCACACTGAAACTCAAGAACCTCCTGGAACCAGTCTTTACGAAGAACACGCCTAAGTAATTGTTGAAGCCGACTGTTTGATCTCTTTACTTAAAAACACCCTATTTGACTGGCAATTAGAAGAGCAAACTATTTAATCTTTAAGTTTATAAATAGCAGTGAGTGATATCACACAACCCAAAAGAGTTGAAGACCATTTACTTACCTTTGCATAAGCTTTTCCACCTTTTAATTCCTGCCAAAGATAAAAAACACTATTAGGCTATCACATGACTAAGGATTTAAAATGAAATACACATCAAATAATTCTAAGTAGACATTTAAATCCTGGCAAATCTAGATAGTATAGTTCTGATGATCTTAAATCCAACTACTTAGATGCTCCAAAGGACCAAAATTTTTATTGAGAATTTAGCTTAAATCTGAAAGCAGCAAATGGTGAGAAGACATGCTAATATTTGATCCATTTGCTGAAGAAATGGCCAAAAGGTCTTGGACATATTGCAAGAACCCGAATCACCAAAGAAAGGTTAAATCACTTAGTTACCCATGTTAACACACTGTAGAAAGATTTCAGTAAGAGTCAAAACCCTAGCTCTGGAGACAACCACTGTTATCAATGTTTAGGAATTGCCCAAAAGATGCTCCATGCATATAGACAGATTAGATATTCCCCTCTCACTCAAATGATAGCACATTATATATACCTTACTTTATACTTTACTTTTATATATATATATATATGGCAAGACTCCCTGTCATCTAATGTGAACAAGACTGGCAAAAGTGAAAAAGAATAAAAAATAACATATAGCTAAGATTCAGTTAACATATGAAGCTGTATATTAATTTGCCAAATCTCTGGATTTAGGATATCACACACATGTGAGAATAAGCGTGGGGCTATGCCTAGCACACAATAAACACTGTTCACGTGTGTATAATTAGGGCCAAACTCCTCCCTACCCCCCCAACTTTTAAAAATGCATTTGCTGGATGGAGTTGGTTTTTATCGTTCTTGCAGAAACGAGATACATAATGTATTATCTACCATTTCCATCTTTAAAGTGTCGAATTTAAATAAGTTCAGAAGCAATTGATGGTAAATTCTATTATTCATGACTATCTGCTTCCTCTGCCCTCTGCTGCCCCACTGGGGTAAGGTGTGGCCATGTCCTCTGTCTAACCCCCTTACGAATCACTGAATTTTTCTTCTTTATTAGGTTTTCATCATATTCCTTAATAGCACTCTTCATTAAACACAGCAAAACAAACAAACAAACAAAAAAACACCACAGCAAAAAAAAACAAAAACCACCACTGAACTTTTTTCAGATGATCCCTGTCTCTCTTAGCTGATTCTTTTCTTCGCTCTCCTCTGCAGCCAAACTCCTCAAAAGACTTAACTGAAAATGCTGCATCCTGCTCTCTATTCAGTCTCCTCCAGCTGGTGTCTGTCCTCGCTTTGCGGCTGCAGCAGCTCTTAAGATTGCCAGTGACCTCCGCTTTTGTTAAAGCCAAAGCCTCTGTTTTCACCTTAATCTCCCAGCAGCACGTGGCGAGCTTACCCTCCTCCTCCAGCTCACGTCCTTGTCTTCCTGAAGTCCGTGGCGCCCCAATGCCTGATTCTGCTGCCTCGCCAGCCACTCCTGCCCACTCTCCCCGCCGGACCTACCCCTGGATTCAACTTCCGGAGAAAGAATGCTGCCTGTACCCCACTTATCCATTCTCCCTCTCTCCATACTAACAGAATCCTCTATTTTTAACTGGACATCTGGCTACCCCAAATAAAGGAATGACTGCATCTTCTCCCTTCCTTTGTGCTCTGGCAGGGTGACCAGGATATGGCCAAAGGCACGTGAGAGGTGACGTGGGGCTGAATGAATTCTTGCCCCTTTCTTGGACCCGCTAACAGTAATGTGGACTGTCTCTGAGTGTTAGAGGGATTCGGGATTTGGCCTAAGATCGTTCTCTATACTTTCTCCCTGGGTGATCCCATTCAAGTCTATGGCTCTAAATTAAAAAAAAAAAAAGGTGAGCTGAACGACTCTCAAATCTCTAGCTCTAGTCTAAACTCCCCCCCGATTTCCAGACTAGGGTTTTTAAATGCCTACTGAACTGTCCGCTTGACGTCCTGCAGACACGCCAACCTTAACCATGGCCAGAACAGGACCGGGCTGATCTGACTATTGTCCCTGCAGTTGTTCCACGGAGTTTTTGCCATTTCAATACATAGCATAGTCGTCTACCCATTCACTCAGGCACAAGGGGCAAGAGTTATCCTCAATTCTTCTTTTCCCCCTCATTTGCCACATCTGGGGGGGGGGTCTGCCTTCAAGACACACCCCAAATCACACCGTCTCCCCTGTTACAACCCCAAGCCAAAACACGCCCTGCAATCCTCACCTAAACTGTCCCCAACACCCGCGTGGTCTCCTTGCGATTCATCCTCTACACGGCAGCAGAAGTGATCTTAGAAGCCACGTCTCTCCTTATTAAAACCTTGAACCGGGTTCCCACTGTAGTTAGAATACATCGAAACTCCTCGCTGTGGCCTGTGAGGCCCTCCCTGATCTAGCGCCCCCAGCCTCCTCGCCAGCAGCTTCCCCTCGCCACGTTTTCTCCAAGCCGGGCTGGTCCCGTCTCTCATCCGCGCGCGCCCGGCTCTGCTGTTTCTCCTAAGTGGGGTCCGAGGTACTTCCAGAGCTGCGGCTGGTGTTTCTCATTCGTCTAGAAGATTCTCAGCCACGCCCTCTCCCCTCTCCTTCTAGGGCTCCAATCACCTGCATGCTAGACCTTTCCCCCGTTTCCCGAATCTTACACTCTTTTCTGTGCATCCCACCCCTTTTCTCTCTGTGATCTACGCTGGATGCTTTCTTCTGTCTTCTTTCCCGGTTTACCAACGCTTTTTTTGAGTTGTGGTAAACCTGCTGTTCAATCTACCTGTTGAGGTTGAGTTTCACTTATTTAGCTTTCCATTTCAGTTACTGTTTTTTTTTTTTTTAGTTCTAGAATTCAATTTGCTTCTTTTTAAATAGTTTCTAGTTTTCTAATGGAAGTCCCCATATTGTTCACTAATTATGTTTATTGGAAAAGTTTGTCTCTGGTCTTCCAATATCTTTGGGTCTCTTTTTATTATTATTTTCTTTTCCTTGTTCTTGAAAGTTTTTTGAGCATCAAGCTTTAATTGAGTTAAAAATTAGTTCTCTGAAGTGTGGGCTTTAAAATCAGTCCTTTCATTTATTTCCTCTTTGCGCAAATACTGTTTGCATGCCTGCATTTCCCTAGAGTGAGGGACACAGCATGGACTCCGCCCTCTGGAGCCATCCCCCTAGTTTTTTCTTTTGATTTTTGGTCACGCAGTCATGTCTCTGGGTATGCTTGGTGATTTCTGTGCATGAAAACTTGAAGAAATATTCTGAGGTTCAGAGTAATGCTATTTTCCTTCAGAGAAAATACACCTTTGCACCCTGACTGGTGTGGCTCAGTGCATTGGGTGTTGTCCTGTAAACCGAGAGGTGTAGGTCCCCAGTTGGGGGCATGCAAGAGGCAACCGATCGATGTTTCTCTCACACAGTGATGTTTTTTCTCCCTCTGTTCCTCCCTTCCTTCCCTTCTCTCTAAAACAATAAATAAAACCTTTAAAAAACACATACACTTGCTTCTGGTGAGTAGTGAGATTGGGGCAGATCACCTTCATCTAAGCAAGGACTGAGCCGATTAAAGCTGAGTTAGTCTTTGTAAGGGCCGATCTACTTCCACTATACTCCTCCTTCCAGGCTGAGACCCTTCGAGAGTCCCAGTGAAAAGCGTGGGGCATGTTCCACGGGTCCTGGGCTCCAGTTTTTGTCCCTTTAAATCTGTAAACTGCTGGACTCTCAGTTCAGCTTCTCACCTTCTCTGCCATTGCGTTTGGCTCAGCCTCTTAACCACCGCGTGCACATCAGCACAGGCTCTGAGGGTCAGAGCAATGCTGAACGGCAGGCTCGACTCTTTCCCCGTCTGTTACCTGTGATCCTAAGTCCTACTCCCCAGGCAGCTTCTGGTGCCTTCCAGCGGCTATTTTTAACACGTTGTCTCGCTTTCCTGGTTGTTGTCAGAGGGAGGGGTGATCTGGAACAAGCTGCTCCATTAACTTCAGAAATATAAATCCCCAGGTTTATTATGGCCTTAGGCCGGTTATGAATTACATTGTAGGTCTCTCCCCCACAAAAGATACACTGAGGTCCTAACCTCCAGTACCTCAGCATGTGACCCTCTTTGGAAATAGAGTCTTTGAAGAGTAATGTAACTAGCATGAGGTTCTAATGCATTACGGCTCGTGTCCTTATTTAAAAAGGAGACGTTTCAGTAAAGTCACAGACACACACGGAGGGAAGACGATGTGACGACGCAAAGAGAGGAGACAGCGTGGAACTGGAGGGACGCATCTCCAAGCCAGGGGATGCCTGTGGCTGCCTGCAGCTGCCTGCCGGGAGGCGGGAGAGGGGAGCGCAAGAGTTTCTCCCCCAGCGCCTCCAGAGGGAGCGCGGCCCTGCGCCACCCTGACTCCGACTTCCGGGCCCCAGGACTGTAAGACAGTGCATCTTGGTAGCTTTGTCTTTTTGTTTTTACTTATTTTTTAATTTAATTTTTTAATGTTCAGTGAATTTATTGGGGTGGCATTGGTTAGTAAACTTATATAGGTCTCAATTCAGGGGCGCAACTCTAGAACACATCATCCGTGTACGGCGGCGCTGTGTGCACCGAGTTGCTTTCACCCGCCCGCCTCACGGTGCTTCCTTAGAGCAGCTCCAGGGAGCTGGCACAGGGAACTTGAACTTGGAGGTCTGTGACGGTCAGTTTTATGTGTCAGCTTGACATTTTAAAGCTGGTAGTTTAATTCGCTAGTAGGGGTGGTGAACAGATTCTTCTTTTTCATACACAAAAAATGGTAGGATTGCATACTTATATATGATTAAGTTGAACCATCCGAGGCTGCCATTTTTGTAGATTATTGGTAATATGCTTTCGACCTGACATGTGGAAAGAAGATATATATATCATGTGTGTGTGTGTGTGTGTGTGTGTGTGTGTGTGTGTGTGTGTATACATATATACATATGAGAGAGAATATGAACTTGGAATTAGAAAAACTTGAGCTTGAGTCCCTACTTTGCCACTTACTAGCCATGTGAATTTGGACAAGTAACCACCTCTCTGAGCCCGAGTTTCCCTGAAAATGGAGAAAAAGCACCCCTACTTTCGGGGCTGTTGGTAGACAGCACACATGTGAGGTTCCTAAAATACTGTCTAACAAAGAGGAAGTCAATGACCAGCAGGATGCAGACACACAGCCCCCCAAGCAACACCAACGAGGCTAACACTCACAGGCACCACGGCCGGCCGTGAGATGAGGCTCTCACACACCTTAATTCACAACCTCAGATTCCCCACCGTGTCTGTCAAAGGCGCTTGAGTTTGTGCTGCGGGCGTGAGGCAGAGTTGCCTGCAACAGTTCTGAGGAGGAAGCGGAGCTAAATAAAGAGCGGCCGTGACCAGGGGACTAATTATGGCTCCTGACAGGCTATTTTTGTACCTTGCGCACAGACACCCTGTAGACACAAGGATCCAGGATGCCCGTGGCGGCGCTCGCGCTCATTTTGCACATGAACGAGAACTTCTTCCTCCAGCGAACACAGTTGGCTTGCACCACCTCCCTGGGGGGGGGGGGGAGAAAAAGAACCGGTTAATGAACTGTTACTGATGACATGACGAAACAGCACACACACGCTTCCACCCAAGCCTGCAGGGCCAAAGGGACCTATCAAAAGCCAGTCTTTAGCCCTGGCTGGTGTGGCTCAGTGGGAAACCCAAGCATGTGTGTGTGTGTGTGGTGTGCACATGCATGTTTAGATACACACAAACACACACGCAAATGGGAGCCAAGGGCAGATCTTCTGTCACAGGTTTCACACGGTAACTTTAGCCATTTTATTTTATTTTGCAATAGGAAGCTTTAGATGATTTCATTAATGATGATGTGAGGAGAATGTGTATGTGCCCTGAGGAGCGTTCCCCTTGCAATCCAGCGGCGGGGAGGAGGGGGGCGACTAATTTGCACGGTCACAGCACAGGCAGATGGAAGTCGCCCGGCCAAGGACGGACCCGGAGGCACAACGCGTGCCAGGCTGTGGAGGCATCCCCGGGGGTGGGGGGAGGGCGAGCAAAACTCTCCTGCACACTCAGAGTAAACACTCTTTAAAAACTGGTGAATAATAATGGGAATCACAAAGAGGAAAAAAAAAAGCCAGAATTTAAAAAAATATATTTATTTAGAGAGAGGGGAAAGGAGAGAAAAAGAGAGAAACATCAATGTGTGGTTGCCTCTTGTGTGCCCCCTACTGGGGACCTGACCTGCAACCCAGGCATGTGCCCTGACTGGGAATCAAAAGCCAAAATTTTTTAAACTGTTGCTTCCTTCTCAACCTCCCTTGGCCTCCAGACCCGAGGGCGGCCTCAGCCAGGGCCTCTGCAGCTTGGATGCCCGGGGGCTTGGGGGGCCTTTCGGGAGTGGGCTGAGCTTCAAGGCACTCGGTTGTTCCTGTCACTCAGACACTGATGTGGGGCTGGGAACCAAAGACAACATTACAACGTTCCCTAAAAAGTACATAGGAACTTCTAGTTAAAGATGGCAGGACGAGGGCTTCCTCCCCAAAACGTTCCATTTAATGGTTAGGGCATCATTTCACCAGGACAGAGAGAACCGGAGGGGAGACAAGAATAAGCAGCCAGGGATGGACAAGGGAGAACCGATGGAGCAAGCTGCAGGGCGCCGGACCCTGAGCTGGCCGTGGTGAGAGGCAAGGGCGGGGTCTCCAGGTGGAAGGAAGGGGGGCCCAAGGGCAGAAGCAAGGACCGAACACTGTCGTGGAAACAACTCCCAGATCCTCTCCCTGACCCGGCCAGGGGACTAGCTCCTCCTGAGAGTAAAGCAGAGGGACCTCTGCAGGACCTGACCAGTGGAGGTGGGGTAGGGGTGGAGCTAAGGGAGGAAGGGGGTGGAGCTAGGGGAGGTAGGGGTGGAGCTAGGGGCGGAAGGGGGTGGGAGCTAGGGGAGTAAGAGGGTGGAGGATGCCGGACGACTCACTGAGTGCTGAGGCCTCCAATTTTCTTCCCCTACCCGGATTCCTCAGAATATGTTCTTCATGATGTGGGAAGAACATTCTCTGGGGCATCTGACCCGCCCCCCAAAGAAAAGATCTAAGGAGGTGGGTGTTGAGGGTTCCCAGAAAAATGACTCAACCAGCTCAATCTACAGTGAAAACATTCTCCACATGAGCAAAGCTTCTAAGGAACTTTTAGTGCCTTGTAGTTACACATGAGGAAAGGCTCTTAACACGAAAGACAGACTGAAACAAACAGCAAAAGGCACATGTAACAACACAGAGTCTCTGCCAGGAGAAGAAAAGAGGCTCAGGGGAGGCAGAAACGGCTGTTTCATTTAACAGAAGGGAGGAGGAAATAGTAAAGATGACGGTAGACATCAATCAAATAGAGAACAGAAAAACAACAGGGAGAAAAAAATCACCAAACCCTGAGCTAGACTAAGACAAAGACAAAGACAAGACAAAAATCACAAATGAAGGAGGAGGCATTGCAATGAACGCCTCAGAAACAAACAGAACTTTAGGGGACTAATATGAACAATTGTATGCCAACAAATTAGGCAAGCTAGAAAAAAATCAATAAATTCCTAGAAACATACAACTTACCAAAAGTGAATCTAAAATGGTCCAGCTCACAGAAGCACAGGGTAGGCTGGTGGTTGCCAGGGGCTGGGAAGTGGGAGAAGTGGGGGGTGGGGTGGGGGGGGTGGTGTGGATCCGAGGGGACAAAATTCAGTTATGCAAGACGAGCCAGTTCTGGAGGTCTCATGTGCTGCATGGTGAACTCAGTTAACAATAGTGTACTGTGCACTTGAAATGTGCCCAGAGAGTGGATCTTAAGTGTTCTAGAGAAAAAAGGGAAACTATGTGGGGTGATGGATGTTTGTTTTCTTTTCAAAGATTTTATTTATTTTTTAGAGAGGATAAGGGAGGAAGAGAGGGAGAGAAACATCAATGTGTGGTTGCCTCTCATGTGCCTAGGGGGACCTAGCTTGTAACCCAGGCACGTGCCCTGACTGGGAATTGAACCGGTGACCCTTTGGTTTGCAGGCCTGCGCCCAATCCACTGAGCCACGCCAGCCAGGGTGTGATGGATGTTAATTAGCTTGATTGTGGTGGTCATTTCACAATGAATATACATACATCAAAACATCCAGTTGTATATGTTTAAATATATACAATTAATTTGCCAATTATATCTCAACAGAGCTAAAAATATAAAATAAAATTAATGTATTGATAAAACGCTCTGGAACCTATTGTGCATATTTTTCATAACCTGCATAGCCCCGCCCAACGCAGGCCCAAGGAAGCTCAGATCCAGCTGCGGGTTACGACACTGTGCGGACGCAGGAGGCTGTGTGCCTGCCACACATGCGGGGCTACGGAGCAGGTTCTCTCCCGTGAGAGTGAGAAGGTCTAGTGAGCCAAGGGATCAGGTGGGAACGAGTGAGGGCTACGAAATGTGTCCATTCATTAACTTACAATGCCACACCATAGAGGGTCCTTCCTGGAGGAGAAACCCGGGGAGGATGAAGGCAGAAAGTAAGAGCCCAGCGAGCGCCCTGGACAGGACGTTGCCAAAGACAGCCAGCACTCCACAAAAATTTGTTCCTGAATGAAGAAGTGCCGTGCGTGGGCCACCTGTGAGCAGTCCCAGCTACCGAGTCTTGTCTGTGTTACTTCACCCCCGCCCCCACTCTAATTCAGCCCCTCAACAGAGCTTCTCTGGAGTACGGCAACAGCCTCCCAAACGGTCCTCGAGCAAAGCTACCTTCCTCGCTGCACAGGAGAGCTCCTTCTAAGACATGAATCTGAGATGTCTCTCCTCTGTGTGAAATCCTGCACTGCTTCCCTGCATCTTGGAGGATGTGGTCCCAGCTCCTTCACGACGAGGCCCCTGCTCAGCCTCCTGTCCTGACCCCTCCTGTCTCATTGTGCTGGTGGCTCCCCCCTTTTGTCACACTGGTCCTCTCTCACCTGTACACCTTTGTTCCTGTACACCCTGTACTCCCCCTTTCAACTTCCCTTACTCACCAGTTTAACTCAAACTCCCCTCCTTTCGTCATCACCTCCTCTAACAATCGTTCCCGACTCAGCCTTCGGGTGAAAGAAAGCCAGGTGTCCTATGTGACGCGGCTGCCTTGGTTTCCCTGAGGAGCTCGGTGTCTGCCAGTCCCCGTCCCCGAACTCTGTCCCCGGGAAGGGCTGGCAAGAACCAGCTGACTTGGCTTTCTCTGTCGTTCCGTAAGTCCTCGTCCCCCAGGACACGGTCCTAATTTCCTTTTCCCTGCCTTGTCTGTGGCAGATTCTCCCTCCTATGATTACATACACACAGGGGTGGGCAAAAGCAGGTTTACGGTCATTCATATGGAAAATAATAAATAATGATACAAGAATAAACTGTTTCACATATTCACAACTGTAAACCTGCTTTTGCTCACCCCTGCATATTTCAAATAAACCAATATTTTAAAAATTTATCAGCTTAAGCCCTGGCAGGCGTAGCTCAGTGGACTGAGTGCAGCCTGCGAACCAAAGCATCACAGGTTCGATTCCCAGTCAGGGCACATGCCTGGGTTGCAGGCCACAGCCCCCAGCAACCGCACAGTGATGTTTCTCTCTCTCTCTCCCTCCCTTCCCTCTCTAAAAATAAGTAAATAAAATCTTAAAAATAAATAAATAAATGTGAAAACGTATTTAAAAAATAAAAAAAAAATTATCAGCTTAAATAATTGTTGACGATGGCCTTCAGAAATAGGAACTCAAGTAGTAATAGATATGTTAATTTAAATAATCTTTTAGGTTTTGTAATGTCAACATAATAGCCCTGGAGTCTTAAACAATTTCAGTAAATAAAATATTTTTCTGTAAAAAAAAAATTTCTGTGCTTATGGCAATTACTCAGAATTCTTTTGTGATAAGAAAATCTTTAGTGTGAGCGCGCACACACACACACACACACACACACACACACACACACAGCTGTTAGGAGGCTGTCCAAACTACACACACAAAGAAAAAAAAGTGGAAAACTTAGTTTGTGACAATTTGTTATACTGACAGGTTACCATGGAAACAAACAGACTACTTGGCAACTGAGACAAAAGCCACATTAGTAAATGCTTTCCATTATATGAGTCATCAATTTCCTATGAGTTTTACACAGTTGCTTAACCACTTTCAAGAAGGAGAGCAACACAACATGGTTTGTGTTGATTCTGTGGAGAGCCAAGTATTCCCCAGATAAAACGATCAAGATGCTGACTGTGAACTTCAAAAGCAGAAGACTTACAAGAAGATAAGTGTTGCTGTGGCTGTTTATGCATCAAAAGAAAATCTAAATGCAATACAAGAAAATCTAAAAGTTCTTTAAAAAATAAACTATAAAATACAATACAAATGATGGATCTATTTTGGTGACTACGTAGTTGTGGTACTAGTAAACTGCACTACTTAATGCTCTGAGAATGACCTGCGTATGTACACTTGAGGCACATATTTAAAATTGTGCCATGTCTTGGTAATTCAAAGTATTTTTAAGTTTTTAG